TTTGTGATACAAGGTGCTAAAATGACAGATCGGACAAATCGACGAGTTGCACTTTTTCAGATACATTTTGGTAAACATAAAAATCCGGTATTTTTCAATAGATAATTAAAAATCGAAACTAATCGCAAGATGGTCGACCGTACCATAGCATAATCCACTAAAATTGGCGGTGTTTATAACAGAAAATCGAATTGCAGGGAACGGTCAAAAAGGTCACAAAAAATCACCAAGGCGAGCAAAACCTGGATTCGGCCGAATTTATGCCGGAGCCTAAGCAAAATTTCCCTAGAAATGAACCGGCCAAGTAAAACTACCTCCTAGGCCCCTAAACTCGACCTTGGACTTATGTCTTGAAGATCTGAAAAGAAACGCTGGCTAACTTCACGCCAAGCAAAAATTTAACCCTCAAAAGCCTGGCACTGATCATGCGGTACGCGCTTAAAAAATTGAAATAAGTATTTTTAAAAGATAAGTAAACTTTCACAATTGAGGCCATATAAAATAAGCAAAAGCACTGTGTCTACACCCCACCGGTCCATATTATTCATAAAAATTTTAAAAACAATAATTGGACCCACCATCCAGATTCTGTGATTTTTTTATTCAGCGTCGATTGGATTTGGTCAAAAAAGCGAATTTTTCTTAGTGAAGCAAATACTTAGCAACAAAAAAATTCACTAAGTATGCATTTACCCCACCCCAAAAAAGTGACTTTGCAGGATGTCTCAGTCATTTCCCAACCGATTTTGATGAAATTTTGCACATATCATTGTTGAGCAATTTAAAGACGATTGTCGAATCCCCTTTTTGAATTTTGAATTTTTACCCGAGTTATGGGCAAAAATGTGCCCTTAGAAACACATTTTCATTTATTGTTGATCACTGGAGCATATAAGAAAGGATTCAAACCCCACGTCTTGTAGAGTATTTTTTTCTGTAAATTTTAAGCTACATATGATCAAAATCGGTTAAGAAATCGTGACGTTATTCAATATAGAAACTTGCAATTTTTGCAGCAACATAGCATTAATATCGTTGACAACAAATGCTGCATACAAATATGTTCACGCTAATTTTTAGGAATGCGTGTTTACTCAATTACAAGTATTAAATAAACAAGGTCCCAAAAACTTGGAAATCTTAGTGAGGCAGTGCCTAAGAAATAAAATTAGATTGCAAAATTTTTGCATTACCGCTCTTGGTACTTCGATATTTCGTCTTATTCGGAGCGGTGATATAAAAATTTTTCAATCTAATTTTATTTATTCGGCACTGCCTCACTAAGATTTCCCACTTTTTGGGACCTTGTTTATCTTCCTCTGGGGGTGGAATTTCTTGTCAAAAAGTATTTTTGAAATAATCGGGTTAATGGGAGAATCAATGGATCACACCCTATTAAAAAATGGCGACTGGACACTCAAGCAGGGCTCAGGTCCTGCTCATGAGACCAAAATACTAAATGGGTGGTTGAAATCCAAAATTCCTGACTCCATTTCGGACCGAGAATAAAATTCACTGCCGCCGAACCTCAACCTACTAGAGTATGACATGTGGTCCAAACTGAAGCTAGATACATGTGCTAAGCCACATACAAGTTTGAAATCCTAGAAAAAATCTGTCGCTTAGAAATGAGACTAATATTCCTTCAAATGAGTGCGTACCACAAGTGGGACGTGGATACCTAGACTTTGGGCTCTTGTAGGTTCGAAAGGAGGAAATTTTGAAAAGCGCTCCGTATATTTTGTAGCGAATTTAATGGGCTTTCTTGTGATATCGTTCGTTTCTTAAAATTCACTAAACTGACTCCGCTACATTAATTTTTATACTGGACAAAACTTATGACAGTAGTAGGTATGAAGAAATTAAATATAAAATCAAAATTTTATTCATGTCATGTATTTTCTCAAGTTTATTCTCGCCAAACGATGGCCAATTTACAAATTAGTACAATCGATAAGTACATTATACTTAGCTAGAAATGTTCGGATAAATAACCAAATAAACAGATTATATTGATGGAAATATAATTAAAAACGGTACATGCTACATTAAAGTAAAAGATTATCATACGTTTCACTTAGCAATCATTAAGTTTTCATGTCCAAATAGTCCAGCTTCAGATTCAGCTTCTTAACCTGAAAACCTCAGAGTACGGTTAAAAAGAATTCACCAAATTATTATGAAGGTTCCCTAAAGTCTTATAAGGCTAAACACTAACGGATTGAAATCATACTTTTCCTCAAAGGCTGACAATAGCGGGTTAGTATTCGTCGATACCCATTGTTCTACAATTAACGAGTAACTTTCTCCGGGGGAAACGTTATTAGCAGGGTGAAAATATAATTCGCTATAAAATTATAACTCAACGGTATCGCTATTTTTCTAATTTTATTAATTGCCCCAACCCTTACCCCGAATAGGTGCAGGGCCATCAACCGTCTTCGTATAATTTTTCCATTCCCGTCGGCCCGAATTTTAGGCAGGAGTTTATTTGAAGCTTCATAAATTGCGGCGGAAGGAAGTAGCGTTAATGCGAGGATGACCAAGCCGTTGTTGGACAAGACAGGGAATGGGATGTATTCAAAGAGGGGAAGGAAGCTGTGGAACCGAATGGAGCCGAAGGCGCACGAGATAACCAATCCTGCTGGACTGAATACGCATATGACGGGGGCTAGAAGCCAGATGGAGGCATGGTTATAGTAGGTCGTTAGGATCTGGAACTTCTGAAAAATTTGTATCTTTCCGGAAGTCGAAATCAATCGATATGTCCAACTCTGAAAAAAGTTTAAAGACCACGCAATTTAATTGGCGTAAGTACTATCGCATAAGTTAGGTTAGGTAAGGGAACCAAGTAACGCATTAGTTTTTCATTATTTCAATTACACCTATGCAATGTGTTGGCAATATTAATGTAGGTATATTTGAATTTTATTTCCCCACCTTTGCGGTGAGATGCTCAAAAATTTATACAGCATTATGGTCGTTCAAAAATCTAGCACCATCTTCTGTATATTAGATCATTACGATTCAAACCTTCAATTAGCACTTTGACCGTTGGTAGGTTCAAAAAATGAACTAATACTTAATTATTGTGGCCCAATAAAATTTTATATAATATTTAAACTAGCGAATAAGCCCGTCTTCATTTGGGCAAGAACTTCTTTGATTTTCAAGAAGCATGACTGGGAAATTCCATTTAATTTTTGTAAGACACGTAAACTTTTGTACTAAAATTTTAAACTTAAGGACGTGTAGCCAACCTTGAGAGAGTGTTCATCCAGAATGATGTCGGAGGCAGGAATGGGAAGAGGGAGAAGCACTCCGTCGTCATCATGAAGGCTTGTGACATCTTGGCGTAGATTTCAAATCCGAGAAATATTAGAAACATAAAATCCATTTTGTCACTTTTGCCAGAGGAACCCAAGGAATAAAAATATTGTGGTCTTGTCGGGACGACGTAAAACATCGTCGAAACTGCAACGACGTACAGAAAAGTTATCCAGATAACGGCAATAAAATTGACGTCAATTGAATTGAATTTCCACGACAAGTTCCTCATTTGTATAGTGGGATATTCTGAAAATCATTAAATTGGCATAATTAAATTGGGCAGTAATTCAGTGAATTATAAATAAATTATAGTTCGAACGCTGAGGTCAGCTGGAACTGTTCATAATATGTAATTAGATGACCGTACATATTTACGGTAATCACTATTAAGTCGTTATCTCTGCTCTATCTGTATTCGAGTAACAATTATGAAAATTGGAATCTCTTCGGACAAAACAAAATTTGATTTGGATAATAAAATTCTTAGCAGTTCTAGAGCTGATTTTTTGTAAGTTCCACAATATCAATAACTTGGATCCATGCCGCCCCCTCGCGGAGTGGTAGGAGCTCAAAATTATCAAAATAATTACTGGGGCTGGGATTTTAAGCTCAAGGAAATATTTTTGAGAGCAGTTTTCACCGAAAAGTCCCCTAATCGCCCTATTCTTAAAATTTGTACCCTTTTCAAGTTTTCCAGTTAATAGTTTGACGCCCTTAAATAGCGCGACCACCTCCCACTTCTTCGTCCACCCATTGTACGACGTTACAAGATGCCAGAATCCCAACATGATCCAGATCCAGAGCCACACGGCCGTTTGAAAGGAGGGATTCCGTTCCCGAGAAAGTTGACCAAGTCGCCAAAATAAGAAACACAAGTGGACGAAAATGTGAACCACAGCCATAAAAAATGTAACTTTCCTTCTCCCAGTTTCACAAACGGAAATATGACCACCATCTGAATCCCAGGTTAACGGAGTACTTCCCAAAGCAGAGTAAATTTTCATCGAAATTCGGATAATGTTTAGGGTTCGAGCGTTAAACATTTTTTTTAAATTGGGGTTAAAGTTTTCCAGCTCAAGATATTTGTAACGGTTAATTTTTGAAATTTAAGAAATGTATGATTTTAAAAATTTTATGTTTTTCTATGTATGTATTTCACAGTTTTTAAATTTGGTGAGAGCACCTGGAAATTATATAAGGTTTGGTTAGGTTATGTGATTTCGATTAAAAGTGGATTTTAAATATTCCATAAATTCGATCAATTTCTTCCTATTTATTAACAGAAAGGCGGAAACACTATCTAGATTTTCAAATTTAATTTGACTCTTATATCAAGAATTTCGTGGTTACTACGTACTTACTTATTTAGAACTGCATAGGAAATAGGAGTAGTATTTATTTCCGCGTGGTACTACATATCAGCCTGACAGACATATTTACACACTGCACAGTCAAATTGTTTGATTGGATTTTAATTCCTGCTCGTTATAATTTTCCAATTTCGTTATTGCATAAACGAGAAAGTATCACGTCAGGTCTCAAATTAGGGAAGCGTTTAAAATTGGTTTTGAAATTGAGGATTCCCAATCGATCACGGTACCAAGAATAGTTTGACTTAACAAAGTTATACACTCAAAACGAAAATAACAGAATTGTAATTCTAATAATTTCTCATTGCAGCGTCCTACGTGGACGCCACATCTAAATAGATGCCACAATATTTATTTTTTCATTTGACAAAATTTCAATTTTTATTTTCACATTATAATTGCCACAATATTACACTTTTTTTAAAAGTAACCCATACGGATGAATATCCTCCTCTTTTTCAGTGACCCAATACTCTCCAAAACCTGTTTTTGTGTCCGGGATAATTTTCACGGCTTCAGGATTAATACGATTTTGCACCAAAACTTTATACCTGTCCCCTGCATGAGTAAATCCTTTTGCGTATGATTCTGCCACCCTGATTTCGGGCGTGGAATAAATTCCAAATCCATAAACGAAACGTTTTCCTTTGGAAAGAAGGTATCCATTCTCAGCAATTGAGCCAACCCTGTCCTTTTCAGTTCCGTGATAGGAAACTATAAAAAAACGGAAAATCATAAAAATGTAAACCCTTTAAGAACTGAAATTGCCTTAATCCTGAGACGTTATACTCATCGCGCTGAAGATTCAATAGTTGTTATAAAGTTAAAAAAATGAAAGATCCCCAATTTAACATTACGCTATATTGGAAAATGTCCAAATTTCTGATAAGATGTCTAAATTTAACATTTGGTTGGCACACAACAAATCCCCAAAAATTATCAAAAATTTTACTCTGCAGAGAGAAAACTGTGAAAATCATTAACCTCCCAGAAACGACAAGTCAAGTTTTGAACAAACTCCACTCAAAATTTGTAACGACTCGACTCGATTCTAGTTGGTGGACCTCAAGTCCAGTTAGAGTCGAGTAATGGACACGACTCGACTCGAACTCGACGAGTCGAGTTGACTCAGAGGTCGACGCCGCCGCTCTCACGCCGCCGTGCCGCCATACGCCGATGAATTTAATTTTTTCCTATACCTTTAACATTGCGACGCCGCGCCGCTCCGCCGACGCCGCCGAAAAATCACCAAAAACTGGCGCCGCCGCCGCCGAAAATTTGTCGGCGTCGACCTCTGAGTTGACTCACCTCAATGGGCACAGAGTTAAGTATTTACCTGCCCATTCCCCTGGCACTTCGTCACAATGCGTCTTCCTAGTAGTACCACAGCCTAACCAAGCATTGTCTCCATACCTGTCCAAAACATTAAAAGCGATCCTACTCCACCCAAGCGGCCTCTTGTATTCCAACTTTCCTCTCATAAATTTTCGTCCATCGTCCGTAACGTTGGTAAAATCCTTATCGTATCGCGGATCAAGATCATTTTTTCCAATCCTAATATCCATCGCTATTCAATTAAGTATTTAAATTCTATACTGAAATATACTTTGATGATGCAATGGTGCCAAATATATGTATGCCCGTGTCAAGCGACCCGGGTGAAAAATTTAAGGGATTCTATACAGAAATTTGGCTCGGTTTTATGCAGAGAATTGGCTGGATTTTATGCAGAAAAATTGATGCAGAAACAATTTGTGCACAAAATATGCGTAATTGTGCTAAACCGTTCTGAAGAATATACCTGTCAGAATTTTTATGCAGAATCGTTCACAAATTTTCTGGACAAACTATGGTTCCGCCACTTGTGTAGAATTATGTCGAATTCAACATACGATTTTCATCCGGGGAAACTCTTTGAATTGGTTGAAATTTTTAAAGTCTTGCGACAAGTAACGTTGGTTTTATTGACTTGGATTACACAATTTAAAAACCTCAACCAAATCGGAGAGTTTCACTTGACACGATCGCATTATAAGTAAAATACGTGATGACACACCTGGCCGTGTAAAATGTACTCAAGGTTGATCGAAAATCATGTAATGTTGGATATATTTTAGCGTTCATACGGTAAATTTTATACAACCAGTTATTCTATCGCGTATGTACTTTCCTCAACCTTGAGTAAATTTTAATCAAATTTATTTAAGTGCATTAACTATTTGTGGATTATGTAAAATTGTGCTAAATAGTTACCTTGTAAAGGCCTCTGAGAAGTTCCAGCCGATCCGTCGGCCGATCCGTCGCCCCCTCTCCCACGCATGAGCAACATTTTAGCGTTGAAGACTCCAACATTTTTAAGAGAGGGCAGACATCCACGGAAATTTGTTTGACCATCATCTCCGTCACTGTCAAAAATTGCACGTAGTGCCGCATTTGCGAGATCGTCCGTCATGATTGCGAACTTGGAAAAAATTAACAAAAGCGCAGCACCTTAAACATCATTTCAATTATGTGTGGAGTGATACTGAGGGTGGGGCGTCCCGCTGATAACGATTTTGACCATTAATATCTTTGGCGCTATTGGAAATTTTGAATTAAAATGTTTATAATTTGTTCACCTTATAGTCAGCATTATTTCTGTAAAATTTCAATTCGCTAGTGTCAATGGCACCAGAGATATATACATAGGAAAAAATAATTCTGTTCCAAAGCCTTTCCAAAATTGAATTTTTATAAATTTCAGAATATTTTTAAAACACTCTAGAATTGTGAATTGTTCATAGAATTTTATGTGGGTGTTATGAAAGTTTTTGGCATCTATGTGGCTTTCATAAATACCTCATAAATCTCCCAACTTTTTTTTAACTCATTCCATAGCAGCTGGATTTGTACAAAAAAGCATGAAAAAAGTTATTTTTGTGTTAAATGGAATTTTACAAATCTCAATAGTTGAAATATTTTCATGTTTATTATTTTAGCAGTTAGAGGAGACCTTACTGATGGTAATACAGACAGATTTTGGAGTACAAATATTTAATTTCGTGTTATGGAGTGAGTTGGGAAAAATTAGCGACATTTTGACAGTTTGGGGGCTGTTATATTTAACTTTTACTCTGAAACTCTACCCAGTTATATTTCAATCAAAATTTAAACTGCAATGCGTACTAAAGACATGGGGTCACATAATTTGTTATTTCCTGACATTTTAGGTTATCAACGACTTCCACTTGTGCTTCCATAGGGTAATTTTGGTCTGGAACACAAATAAATCATCACTGTTGTACTTTAGGTTCAGTTGAAGGTCTGGTTCTTACAGTAGAGAATTAAAATTTTGCACCTATAATACCAACTCTAGTGCCTATCAATTTGCGAAGTTTCAAGTTGAAATTACTACAAGTGCCAAAGATCTTAAAGGTCAAAATCGTTATCAGCGAGCTGCCCTCCCTTTGGTATACAGGGTGGTTTAAATGTCAGGTTACAATGGAAAATTTTTCAATGGGAAAAATTCGCAAATCTCCATTAGTTACCGAAATTTTGCCTCTGAAATTCAATATTTTAAGAATTTTGTCATCAGTGTTCCATAAGTTTTGATAAAAATTAATAAAAATCTCAATCCCAAACCCGTAACTAATGGAAATTTACGAATTTTTCCCATTGAAAAACTTTCCATTGCAACCTGACATTTAAACCACCCTGTATGTGCACTCAAAATAAGGCAGTAATGAATCATTACCATGCGGAATGACTATGTGGCTCTACCACGTCGGTTACGATTTGTCGTAGAGATGGTAATAAGTTCAGGGAAATTCAAATTCATTACATAATGGTATTCACTTCCTTAATTTTTGGTAATGAATTTGAATTTCCCTGAAATTATTATTACCATTTCTACGACAAATCGTAACCAACGTGGTAGAGCCACATAGTCATTCCGCATGGTAATGATTCATTACTGCCTTATTTTGAGTATAATGTGATATTTTTTGGAACATAGGGCCATTTATATATGACGCGACATTAACAAAATTTTCCGTTGTTAACAAAATTCGAGATAAGTTATTCGAGAATTTTCTCCAATGAATCAACTCTATCGTGAGAATTTGGCTTCTATTACGAAAACTATTGGCGTACCCCGCCCCCCCATTTTTATTTCGGATTCTTCATGTACACAAAATTACTAAAATTTTAAGCCATCAAAATTAAAAATTGCTTGAGCACGAAAAAAAACATTTCATTGTACATATCTATCTTAATAACGAATTTACAATTATTTTGCAGTATTCAACAAATTGGAAAACTGGGCTCAGAAATCAATCAAGGTAGCGGCCAAAATAATTAGATGTTTCCTCTACTTACTTACTTCTTTCGACTGGATCTATTTGCACAGTTGAATATCGTTCCTAAATAAATTGTTGCTAAATAGATTCTCAACCAGTAAAACCATTCAAATTTTGAGCTACATACCTTCACTCTGGTGTTCACCCACCTATTTAGGACGACCAAACCGAAATTGCCCTCGGTTTCAGGTCCGACAACGAATATATTTTGTCATCGTTATCAGTAGAGCATGACGCTATATGGTCGAGGCAGTAAAATTAAGCCCATTTTTACATGCATTCCATATCCTTAACTGATCGTATTAAAATTACACCTAGTTCTGCGCAAGAAGTGAATGTAAATATGGGCTTAATTTTACTGCCACGACCTTAGTCCTGACTTGTTCATGCATACATAATTGTCCATTTGAAATGATGCCGTCAAGTTATAAAGTTAAATTCATAAGTATTTCTCGCTATTAAAGTAAAAAATATTCAAATACAATTTGTATCGTTTATTTGAATATGAATGACACATGCATGTAAATACGTAAAACACATTAAATAAAGTTAATAATCCTTTACTGCCTGGTAAACAAGGACGTTTTACAATTTGATAGATTATGTAGATCCGCATGACACATACTTTGCTGCAAACTTTATGAGTAATGGATATACATAAATATGTAAATATTTAAATAAGCATAACTTGTAAACTGCACAATGCTTATATGAAAATGTCCTTATGTAAGTCGACATATGTAAGAGATGCTCATCACTAATGAGTTTTTTGAATAATGGCGACTTCAAAATTACTCCTTTTATCGGTAGAATGAAGTGTGGACGCACTTTTGCACTTAATAATGTTAAAAACTGTATCGGTGATCCGTTAATTTTCAAAATCCGAACAAAATTGGATTTTTGGCGATGGTAGGCACAAGTGAAAATAGGGTTTTTTCTTATTTGTGGTCCCTTTGAGTGGGTGTAACGGGTGCAAATGTGACCACGGAGTAAAACCACTTGAGGGTTATCCTACATTCACTCAGGGCCTCCAAATATGCAAAGGGCATCAAGATCTGCGAGTCAAAGTTTGACGATTATACATACATATTTCTCCTTAGCAAATTGGTGTTGAATCATCACTGTTCTGAAGTGGATAGAATAATAACTGACATCACCTGATAATAATCTTGTGGTGATGAAAGCAAGGATTATTAACTTTAGTATGTAGGATTTTATAGATTTATGTATAAGCAATTTAGTCCATGCTAAATAATATTACCGAGAATTATGTACTTTATAAATTGTCGGGACCATTTCAAAGCGGCAATTTTACATAAAATAGTCAGGATTATGTTAGAGGCACTAAAATTAAGCCCATTTTTACACGCGGAACTGGGCTTACATAATTTTAATGCCTAACTTATATAAATATGTTCGTTAATGTACTTGGAAACGACCAAAATTGCAGCTTGAACGCCCGAAGTGGGTCAGAAACATTGTGAAAGTAGGTCAAAATTTTACTGGTAAATTCAAATTTAATCGGGAATTAATTAAATGTCTTTATTCCCATTTGAAGAGTATACTTGTTTTTCTAGGACACGATTATTACCAAGTTCGAACGAGCTGTGTATTTAACACTAAAAATTCAAAAGGCTAATATTACCCGTCTTTTAAGTAAGCATCACCTCGTTTGAATTTAATTTCAGTCCGCCCTAATGGGTAAGTTGTTTTGGCGCGCAAAAAAATACGGGATTGTTTACTTAAGGGACGGATCTAAAAGTCTAAAAAATTTAATTAGATATTAATTTATATACTTAGCTCAGGTATAGTAGCTTAGGATCTCAAGGTTTATGTGTATAATATATTTAACTAGTGTAGAAGCCCGGCAATCGACGTGCAAAATAGGCCCGTCGATAAGCCCGTTACCCCAACATTAGTGAAGTTAGCCTCTCCTGTTCTCTCTGCAGAGAGGAGCGAGAAAAGGAGAGGCTAACTTCTCAACTCAGCCACCGACCCAGCCAGCAACGATACACTCGTCTGCTTTATATAGTTTAGATACTTATTTAATTATTATTTAAGGTGTTGTATCACTTAAGTCTTAACTCGCCTAATTTTTTTATGGTTATTTAGCAACTATGACAAACGCTCTCGCCATTACCGCATTACGTGCGATTTTATGTGAAACTCCTTCTCACCATGGTCAAATAAGTGTGGAGCATAGAGTTTGTCATTCCTCTGCATCGAAACCAGCGGTAGGATTCAAACCCCAAATGCTACTAATGCGTGGGCCAGTTGACGACACATCAACCAGTCGCTCGGAAGATACTTTTAACAGACAAACGTCAACTTCCAAGGTGGAGAATGTCAATTGTGACGATGAAGACGTTACAAGTGACGAAAAAGTGTCACATATAATTTTGACAAATAATGTCGAGTAATTTCAAGTAGAACAGTCAAAAAATTTTTATAAAAACATTAAACAGTATGTATGTAAATATAATATTATTTACATTTTCGACTTCAGAATTGTTACCTAACTTCTTCCATTTTCTCAAAAGGTTAAAACATCAACCTGGCGCGTATGAGGACATTTGTCATTTTATTAGAAATGGGTTTAAACTCGGGAGGAAGACTAGACTAGACTTCTCCTTAAGGTTCCCATGGATACAGAGGCTAAATCCTGCACTGCCCCAATGTCAACGCTCAGGTAATAAAAATATTACCGATACCGGAGGCAATTTCTTACCCACAGAAGACAATTTGTTACTATATTGTTACCACGCGGTAGAATTGCATAGTGTCTCCGACGGTGACAATATTGTCAAAAAATTATTGAGAGTGTAGGTTTAGATTAAAATATCAAATGTTGCAATTATCTCAAAACTCATGGAGTTGATTCGATTTTAGAAATTGCATTTGAATACATGGGATAGGGGCAGAGTGAGATTACGCGCCAACGCGTCATCCATGGGAACCTTAAAAATTGTGGTTACACCATCGCATTGTGAGTTGAACGAATTTTCAAATTACGCAGATGAAAGAAACTGTATGATCTTTCACAATCACAGTCATATGAATGAAAGTGAATTGGTCTTTTGCAGTGTTTGCGAGGATTTATGTATTTACTCAACATCCGATTTGAGTTCATGGCCAATTTCATCTTTTATGTAAGTTGCATTCACTCATCGTCAGTGTGTGCAACTTACAGTGTGTCGCACTGTAGGCGCCCAAGCCGCATAAACACATAAAAGGACAGAGACCAGCATCTCATCAGACGGCGGAACAAACGGACCGACGAAGCCATACTATAGATACGTAAGCCTACAGACTCATCCGGCTTTAAAAGTCGGAAACTTGACAAGTTTGACGATAGGTATTTACACTGAAATTTATTACTTTGTACACGAAGTCATGGATTTTTTAATGAAATCATACAGGATGGTAATTACTTATTTATGCATGAATGTATGTATGTATGAAAGTATGAATAAGAGCAGATTCGTCCTGACGCAGCCATACATACTTAATGTATCTTGGACCAATGGTGACCCTGCATTAAATACTTATTAGTTAATCCTGCTTCATACTTAATCATTTGGAGGGTGGATTGCCCCTATTATAGCCGTCATAATGTACATCTTTAACTATAATCTGCATAATCTACATAGATAATCTATTTACATACATAATACCCACCCGTTTGCATGAGTTTTAAGCATAAATAAAATCACTTCAATATGTGGCCAAAATAAGTATACAAAGCGCAGACTTTATTCTATTTAATTATGCTAATCCGTTAATGCAAACAATTCCATTTTCAATGAAATTCTGCACAAAATAATATTTAAATATGTATAAAACCAGTCATGGTTATCCTCATTTGTATCCAGTCTTCATTCATATCTCCGAGCTCTAGAGGTGGACAAAATTCAATTTGAAAAAATTTAATAAATACAATTTTAAAATTTGTATTTTTGTATTTTACTAAAATCGATCAAGTAATTTGAACTTTGTACATAAGTATTTTCGAAAGCAAGAATTTTGTAAGTTCTTTCAATGTAAAATATGTATTTACATGATTAGTGCCTGTCATGTTCAAAAATGTATTTCATAAGTTCGTCATCTCTTTTCGGTGTCGTGACATTTTTTACAATATGTCATTGTTTTAACATCGATCCAGCAGGTAATCAATTCGCTACCACTCTAAATATGTAATCCGGTAACAACGAAAAAATATTACCAGCAGCAGTATTTATGTAACTTTATATAATGCCATGGTAATAAATTTAATATTGTCTGGTAGAAATTTGTTACCAAATCGGTAATCAGTATTTACAAATTACACGGTTCGACTTCTTATCAGCATTGCAGTAAATTTAGTACCAGGCTATAGCAAATTTAAGCCCATCGTGGTAACCTGATATACAGGGTGGTTAAAAAGTCACGCTACAATGGAAAATTTTTTCGATGGGAAAAATTCGTAAATTTCCATTAGTTAGCGAAATTTTGTCTCTAAAATTCAACATTTCAAGAATTTCGTCATCACTGTTGCATCAGTTTTGATAATAATTTTCTAAAAATCTCAACCAAAAATCTTGTAACCAATAGAGATTTAGGGATTTTTCCTATCGAAAAATCTTCCATTGTAGCGTGACATTTAAACCACCATGTATGTAAATCTGTACTCTTGCTAGTAATAAATATTTTGTTAGTAACAAATTGTTACCCAATTTTTTAGAGTGCAACATTGTAACTACAATATATCTAGTTGAACTTTTTAAAAAACCAGCAGAGCCTGGCACCCTTATCATTGGTGGCAGTCCCGCCGAACGAGGAGAATTTCCGTGGCTCGTTTCCATCCAATTGGTAGGTTTTGGCCATTTTTGTGGAGGAACAATTTTGAACAGTGAATGGATTCTAACCGCGGTACATGATTTTAATTTTTCCGAAAAACTTCCAAATTTCGTCAATATTTTTATTTTATGCGAAGGCACACTGTATGGATGAAGACCGGCTATCTGAATATCAAATCGTAGCGGGGGAACATTTACGAGATGAGAGTGATCCTTTTGAAGAGGTCGTCAATGCCAAGGGATTCTTTGTACATGAAGATTACACCAAGTAAGAAAGTGTTCCCTTTGAATTACCCGCCTGCCACCTTAACTAGCGACATTCTAAATAATCCAGTAACAAAGAATTACCAACCGGACGGTAATAAATTTCGACCGAAATAGTTCTACCAGACAATATTAAATTTAACCATATCACGTATGTAAATACCAGAGTTGAGTCGGATATCCGTTTCTTCGGATAATCCGTAGCCCAATCCGATCCGTTAAGATTGGATTGGATTTTTTTAATTAAAAAACGAATCGGATATTTTTGAGAATCCAAAAAACGGATAGGATATTTTTGAAAATCTGAAACACGGATCGGATATTTTTGAAAATCTGAAACACGGATCGGATATTTTTAAAAACCTGAAACACGGATCCGATATTTTTGTTTTCATCCAGAAACGAATAGGATCGGATCGGATTTCTGAAAACACGGATCCGACTCAACTCTAGTAAATACTTCGGCTGGGGAATACTTCTTGTTACCGAATTTTTTTACGGTGTAAGATTTTTTATATAATATTCTCAGCAAAACTGGCGAAAATGATATTGGTCTAATCCATCTAAAATCTCCTTTGACCTTTAACGACTTTGTCGAACCTGGAAAAATTGGGGGTAGCCCGACCACGACGAACACAGAAGACCAGCTGATCGCAGCTGGTTGGGGCAACACCGAGTTTGCGACGAACTCCTTCAGCGTCGAACTTCTCAAGGTAACCGTTCCACTCCGACCGAATACTGACTGTGACGCAGTCTATTCCGACAAGGGTTACACCCGCGTGAAGCAGATTTGCGCCGGGATGGGCGGGAAAGACAGCTGTGGAGGTGACTCTGGTGGTGGTTTGGTTAATTCGGGAGACAAGTCCGTTGTAGGTATAGTTTCGTACGGTAGGCAAAAATTAACTATTCAACACAATGGCTTACCCTGCATCAGGGCTTTCTAATTAATTAGTCAATTTAATTAATTATCTAATTAAATATAATTATCAATTACTAATTAACTCTAACTAATACCACCGAAGCTAATTATAATTACCAATTAATTAGAAAATCACTTACTAAGTAATTGGTCAATGTTCTACCTAATGAGCGAATTAATTGGCTTAATTAGCAACCTGAGTTTAATTACTATTTAGTTACTAATTAATTAGACGAAACAATTTCCTTCTAATTATCAATTACTCTTTAATTACAAATATGGCTAATTAATAAGCTCTGCTCCGCATTCACTTCGTTTTGCTCGTTAAAAATGAGTCAAACATTTTGCGATGGGATTCATTAGTTAAATATGTATTTTTATTCAAAATTTCCAGGTGAAAAATGCGGAGTTCAAGAATTTCCTGGAGTTTACACAAGAATTAGTTACTATCATGACTGGATTATTAAGACGATGGGACGCCCCCAAGAAAATATTGGCAACACTGTCCCACTCCACACAAAATTGGTCGTATTTGTGGCAACCATTTTCCAATTGTTGTAATTAAAATATTGAATAAATTTAAAAATTAGAAGAATTACATGACAAGAATGTTTTCATTTAAATTAGTTACTCACATTTTGAAACAATGCAATAATTCAATATTCAATTTATTAGCATTTGATATGGCCATGAGCCCTCATCAATAGAAATTACAGAGTTAGATATGTAAATGTAAATAAAGTAAAAGTAAAAGTAGTCAGAGGAATAGTGGGAAAACCTGGCTATGGTGTAGAGCCAGGAAAACCACTATCACCTCTGGGAATGTGGCCCAGAGGTCCATTCGGCTCTGACTACATCACCCAGGCAGGACAAATGAGTGATAGGGATCATAGGCAGATTCCGCGAGGAACTGCTGATATCCAAATGAGGACGGCGTCGTGACGGCGGAAGCAAGGTGAGTGAAGGTTGTTGGGCGGGGCGTCCACGGACCACGAAATACCTTAGCGCCCTCACGGGCACGGGCTACGTGTCCCCTTCACGGTCACACAGTGTGACCAGGGCCGAGCGACACTACCCACTTGCCCCTTCACCCCTCACAGCACAACCGGGCCATGGGACCCCCGTAGGCCCGACTACACTGCCCACCGCCATGCACGACCCCGTCCCCACTCTTCTACCAACCGCCCCCACGGTCACCACCCCGATATACCAAACAATGACCTACCTGGGGGGAGTCCTCCATGGCGTAGATCCTCCCGTGCACTTGGTCCGGCGAATCCATCTTCGCCTGATGGCTCAGCTTGTCGTTGCTGGGACGGGTGTGGCATGGGGTGTCACCAGGCACGCAGGTGGGGGGTGTGAGTGGACGAGGCTCACAGGGCGAAAAGCCTGGGACACACTTCACTTGCCCTGGCACACCCGCGACCAGATGGAAGAGAGAGAATCCAGTTGCAGAGCGAGAGAGAGACACGTCGTGCACGGTTGGAAGCCAAAGAGGATCGAAACAATGCAATAAAGAGAAACGCAAATCTCAAAAAAATGACCCCGTAATTAGCCTAATTGTATTTATGAAACCTATTCATATTATACAGTTTAAATAAATTTGATCAAAATTTTGGATGACACAACTCAAAATGCGATGACGCCAGCGGTCTCGCTCCGATTTTGACGAAATAACGATAATTATGTAACCTTACACAAATAATTGAATACGTGTTTCGGGATTTTTCATAATGCTCAGCTTAAACGAAATTATAACGTGATTCGCGAGCGAGAATTCCCATTTCCACTGTGACATTTTTCTCGTGAGGGGGAAAAATCCAGATTCACGCTTAGCGATTTTAAAAAATTTGAAAATGCAACAGACTAGAAATTTCGAAAAATTGAAATTTTTGAAAACGAGATTTTTCTTAAGATACTCAATTCTGTGCAAAAATCTTTATGCATTTTTGAAACCGGATAAAAATTTGAAAATTTACCGCATTTCGATAAATCCTTAACTCGGGTTAAAATTTATTCCACCAATGTGCAAAGACAAATGTGCAAACGACAAATGTGCAAAGACATTTGTGCAAATGATAAATGTGCAACCTGACAAATGTGCAGGCCCCGATTTACGCGCGGGCAACCCGGGCGGTTGCCCGGGGCGCCAAATCATGGAGGGGCGCCGCGAGGCGCCCCGGTTTACACTAGATATAATTGAATTTTCCAGTAGTAAGATTCGAAAATCTTTGCCTATATTTTATTTTAATTTTAATAAAGTTCGAACAACTAATCGCGAGTATTCCGATGTGCGGATGACCAGTGCCATTTTTTAATTACAGTTTTTAAATTTTTGCTCTCCATTCTAAATAAGTCAACTTTACACAGGGTTGAGTTAAATAAAAATGAGACAACAATTGGCTAAATTTTATCCAACGGTTGTAAAAAAATAACAGCGTTGAATGTATTTTTTACGAGTGTGGATAAATTTGCACAAGGATTGAGTAACTTTACCCAATTATTATAATCTTTTTTTAATCAACCTAGGGTACGTTTTAGTAATTTCTTTAGAGTGCATTGACACTTTTTCTAAACGACATTGTTATGCCTAATTGCACTAAATGTTAAGCATAACTTGTGGCATATATCAAAACAAAAGTAACACTATCGGAGTAGAGGATTCAACGCCAATTTTTGAAAACCAGAGTAAAACGGTTTCCGAAGAAGCCTGAAATCGATTTTTACAACTCTAAAAACGGAGTTTTGTCAAATTTTTTTGAATCATTTAAACGATATTGGTTTTCCAATTTTGACGCCATTTAAACAAAACAGACAGCACGCATGCTTAAAATTAATTCCTGCATTTGTTTAGCAGTATACGTTATTTAAGGTTTGTTTACTAAATAAGTTCTCGGACTGGATGGAATTAAATTGCTTCCGTAAGAAAACGTACAAACAATTTACTCCTCTGTTCGTCCACGTAAACAGGAACCATAATTAAAGATTTTGTTTGATCTTGAGATTTTGTATAATTCGAAAAGCTGAAAGAAATCCAAAAAAAACAGTGCCTTTAAGAAACGACGTAAATTATATTTTTCAAGGAGCTTGGAATATTCTAATCAGGCAGATACATGTTTATGTAGATTGCTTGAAATATTGCAAAAATCAGAAAAGTTCTAGTTTTCTTAAAACGTTTGGTTGAAAATTACGAAAGCATATTTCCCAGTATGATATTATGATCAGATATGCGATCCTATTTGAGTATTCAAGAAAGTGGCAAGGCATTGAATGACACGCTGGCCTTTATTTATTTTTTATTCGATCTCATTTCCAAGTTCTAGGAATTTGATAAGTTCGCGTGGGTTAAATCTCAAAGCAACCCAGTAGACTGTACATTGGTGTCATTTTAAGAATAAAACAAGGCTCCGGTTACATTAGATCAATTAAGGTCTTCATAATAATATCATATTGATATTTAGTAGGGATGCACCGAGTACTCAGCCGACTTTGCGAGTATTTTTACTACTCGGACTCGGCCCAGTATTGTCGCCCCACTCGGCCGAGTATTTTCTATTTTTTTGTCATTGTGTACCACATTATCTATGGAAGGTCTATATAATTGATTTAATGAATTTTCCTTGCATTTTGAGCTCTGGAAGCAGATCTGAAAACATTTTAGCAAATTCTAAGCGGTAATTAATCAACGACAACGAAATTCACGAATTCCTTGTACTGTAATGGATGTCACCAGAGCAGCAAATGCTCTCCGAGTTCGACCAAATTAGTTTCAATCGATCATAGATTTAGTTAGTATCACATTTTCAAAAGACACAATGCTCAGGGTGGCATATGTGTGTAGAATGTAGAAATTTGCTTCCCAAGAGAAAACCACGTGAATTTGAATTTTACCACCCCCTTTGGAGTGCAAACTTTGTGCACATTAGACCGCCTATTTCTTTGTATGCAAATATCTCCACCAGACCTTTAGAATTTAACAAATTTCATGTGTATTAACTATATAGGGGATGAATTGACACTAATTCCGTCAAAATTAGATAGAATACACTGGCAGATATCCATTATTATTAGATTTTGCTCGACTGTTATGAATTACTCGGTACTTGACCGATCCTTATTAAACACGACTCGGTGCATCCCTAATACTTAGTTAATCCATTTATTATGGGTGTACATACTTATTTTCCCCAGGCATTATGTAGAGGAATTAGTGTTTTTGAACTAGCTTGAGCTTTTTGTGAATATTTCTAATGCATGATGGTACTTTGCATGATGGGGTTTTAAACGTACGACACCAATGGTGTCACACCATAATCCATTTTTTAGTATATTTAGGGCGCAAGATATAATTTTGGAAAAAGGAAGAAAGCGGATAAACCGGGTTTTCATCGAAGTGTTCGATTCTGAATCCTCTAAATCGAAGCAAAAAATTACTAGTCGTGGTATACAGCCTAAAAATAAGATTTCAGGTCAAAACCTGTGACCCTAGACTTGACCTATTTTGTAATTTTCAAAAACAAGAACGTCATAGAACGACAATCTTCGATGACTACCACCCTGCAAATTTCCAAGCAGATTTTCTATCCAACAATTTATTCTGCAACTCAATGTATAGGAATGGATTATTAATTAGCCCTGATATGTAAGCCGGATTTATGTATTTGTTCAGATAATGAAGATTCACAATTGCATGCATAAGACCCAGAGGTCAGCGCTGCCGATCTCACGCCGCCGTTTATGAGTCACTGCGGCCGACAAATCTAATTCCCTATTCCTTCAACATTGAGGATTTGCGGATCTTTGCCCCCCATTAAAAGCTACCCATGAAATGCTACCCATTATATGCTACCCGTGATGGTCTGCTACCCATGAAATGCTACCCATTATATGCTACCCGAGATCATCTGCCCCCCATTATATCCTACCCCACCCATTTTCACTTTCTTCTTGCAAATTAAACCAAAATGGATACCCCGTTTTGCGTCGTAGTGCAACATAAGAGTTACAGTTTATTTACGCAAAATTAGTCAAATAATAAATTCTCAAAAAACGAATCAATGCATAAAATCTCGTAAAATCAGCCGAACAATAAATTCTCAAAAAACTAATCAATATATAAAATCTCTTAAAATCAGTGGAACAACGAATTTATTATTTGACTGATTTTACGAGATTTTACATAGTCTCAACTTAAACAGTGATAGTAGAGCAGACGACTATATTAGGTTAGTTTTTAGGAATACGTCCGAAATTTAATTGACAAACTGTATCATTCCCGAGTCAGAAATTTATAAGATGACATTTTGAACAGGTTCCAATTGAGCTGAAATTTGGTACAGAGGTTGTTAATGGGTCCTAATGGGTTTCAATACACGGTCCACATCATACTTTGCAGATATCTTCACTTTTTGAGGGACTTTGATAAGTGGGAGGATACCAGGACCCGACATTGCACCCACCAGCATAAACTGTTATAAAAAGTTCTCCTCACACGGAAGCACCAACTTGCGTGAATTGTTTTCGGCATTTGTCGTGTAGTAAGCTCTTGGAACCCAATTAGTAACTTGTAGAGAAATTAGTGCTTCGTCAAATGTCACC